ATCTTGGAACCAGACCTCAGCATTGACAGTGCTATTTTTACGGGCGAGTCTGCGCGACGCCCTGGCAAGAGCCCTATTTTGAAAATCATCGGCCTTCCATCCGCGCAACCGTTGTAGGTTAAGACGGAAGTGCGCGGCGCCAGGGCGAGAGCCCTTTCTTTGTAAACCGCCCGCCTTCCACCCGTGTAGAGATGTTTGTATAAAAAAACCTCTGGGCACCAACGCGCGTTATGCCCAGGACCCTCCCGCACCCTTTCCCCCCCCCCCCCAATGTCGTAACGCTCCCCCCTTCAGTGAAGGGGGAGAGTGAGGAGGGCCAGGGGGGATGAGGAAGGGGGGGGAGGGGAGGAAGGCGAGAAGCGTAGCGGGAGCTGGGGGCGACTCAGAAAGAGGGGAATCGGAGTCGGAACCGGATCAATCGCGAAGCGAAATGAACTACCACATCCCTTCTCTCACAAAACTCCCCAAGCGCCAAGACGGGCCAGGAGCCGAAGAAGACGAAACAGATGCAGGACAATCAATGATGATGGCATTGCCGCCGCAGCTCCTCTTGCCACATGGCGACATCGATGACTAGGAGCCGCATAGCAGAGCCCACGAAACGAGAGATGACAAGCAACACCGTCTGCTGCATCAATGCGTCATGACCACACGTCCAGCCGTCACAACCATGCGCCTTTGAATCAACTCCGCGTGCAATTGTCCATGGTGGGCACGGCCGCAGGCGGAGCGGACGGCGGGCCCGCTGCTGCAGACATCTCTTGGCTGTGGCCACTGCAGAGCCTTGGAGCATGCCCCCCACCGTCCAACGGGGCAGCGGGTGGCGGTGCGGGGCCGATCAGCACCGCGGAGCGCACCGACGTCACGCATGAGCCGCGCCCGCTTGGCACTGGCGTGCCAGCCTGCTGCCGCTCGCGGCTCCTGCGCCCGCGCGGCCTCGACGACCGGCCCCGGAGCAGCCCTTCCACGAGGGCGAGCTCGCCGACGAGCGAAAGGCTGCGGCCTCCGACCCGCGGCGCGAGCGGCGCCCGCGGCCGCGAAGCGCAACAGCTCTCCCCGTCGCTCCAGGATGTGCTGCGCGTCGGACTCGGCGTCCGGCTCCGAGCCGACGACGTCGCTCCGCAGGCAGCCGTGCTCGGCCGCCGCCGCTGCCAGCCGCAGGCCACCCTCAGAGCCTTCGGCTGTGGATGGGGGCACCCTCTCAGCTGGAACTTGCACCCTCAGCGCGTCGGGCTCGGCGTCGGGCTGCACGTCGGGCTCGGAAGCCTCCACGACAGCTCGGAAACCTCCACAACAGCGCCAGCCGCAGAGGCCACGAACGACTCCTCCACTTCGGTGAGAGCTACAGTGCCACATGTACAGCTCGGGGGTGGACAGAACCCCCACCCTGACACGTCGATTAGTGAATTGTCCGTTTTCGGTTCTCGAGAGGGCGCCGCGGCCGTCATTTTCCAGGCTTGCGCACGCCAGGCTTGGGCCCGAGGTCGTTTTCACTAAACCACGTTTTGCTACAGGGGGTCCCGTCCATCCCCGAACAGCAGACTCCGCCCGCGAAGCCGCACTCTGGCGGCAGAACTTCCCAGCGACCCGCACCTGGGACGAAGTCGGCCGCCTGTGCGCGCATCCGCGCTGGAGTGTCCAGGCTAATGCTCGGTTCCACGACTTCGCCCCCACGTGACGGGCCCTGTCGCCCGCCGCCTTGACGGCCATGCCCTCCGGCAGGTCCGCGTTGGACACGTTCACGAGATTCGCGAGCTCCCTCTGGGCCTCCCCAAGCCTGTGCCCGTGGTGCCCCAAGCGCTCGTCGAGGCGGCGGTGCAAAAACAGCGCCCTCCTGAAAGCATCCAGACGCGCACTCGTGTCACGGAGGAAGTCGCTGTAGAGGTCGAGATTGTGGACTGCCAGGTGCACCGCCTTGGACGCCCGATGAGCGTCTTCCCGCTGAGCTCGCTGGCGTCGCAGCCGCCGAGCCAAATTGCTAGCAGATTTTCTCGCCCAGACCTTTCCTGGACTCTCCTTTACCGACTCACGCTCGGGCCATCGGCCCCGCAGGTCCCCCGTAGTCATCATCCTCAAGAGGGCGCAAACAACTCAACGCCAGCCTCCTGTTGCACTAGTTGTGAAGCATCACCTTGCCGGCTCGAACAATGGGGCTGCGCGCGAGGGCGAAAGGGCAGCCCTTGAGAGTTGCTCCCCCCCTTCGCCCCCCCTTCTCCCTCTGCCCAGCCCCCTCTCCCCCCTGCCTCCTCCCCCCTCCCTCCTCCCCCTCCCTCCCCCTTTTCCCCCAGCACGCGCGCGGCACAGCATACAGCAGGTTGAACATGCTGCATGCTGTGGCGCGCGTGGCCCCTGGAACATGCCGTGTTCCAGAGGCCACGGCCACCCGCTCTTGGCCAGGCCCAGACGCTGTATGTCCGCACCGGTGGTCGCTCGCTCGCTCCTCCCTCCTCGACCCCCGCCGCCAGCCTGTTTCCGTCCTCCCCCCCCGTCCCTCCTTGCCTCCTCTCCCCGTCTCCCATTCTCCCTCCCTCCCTCCCCTTGCTCCCCCTCCCTCCCACTTCCTCCCTCTCCCCCTCCCTGCCTCCCTCCCTCCCTCCCTCCTTCGCCCCCTACCTCTCTCTCCCCCTCCCTCCTAGCCTCCTGCCGTCCTCCGTCCCTCCCTCCCCCTCCCTCCCTCCCGTCCTCGCTCGCTCCTTCTCCCTGCCCCCACCCTCCCTTGCCCTCCCTCGCCCTCGCCCCCCCCATCGCCCTCCCTCCTCCCCCTCGCTCCTCCTTCCTCCCCCTCCTCCCTCCCCCCCCCGCCTCCTGCCGTGTCCTCCCTTCTGGCTCCTCCTCGTCCTCCCCCTAGCTCGCGGGAGCGCCGGCCGTTGCGGGCGCTCCCGCCACCACGTGCGCGCGCCGCGCGACGCGCGCCTCTGGGGCCCGCCCGTGGGTCGCCCCGCGGGGCTCCCCGAGAAAGGGAAGCTGTGCCGTCTCGCTCGCCGGCCCCCCCGGGAGGGTTCGGTGGCAAATCGTGGGAGCCTCTTGTATCGGGTCGGGCGAAAGGGGGGGATTGGGAAAGGGGGGGGTACGAAATTTGCCGCATGCAGCTGGTTTCGGCCTCACCGAGGGGCCCATTCCTCGATACATGGCCGCCTCCGGCGCCGGGAGGCGCCGGGGAAATCAGCTACGTGAGCTGATTCTCAAACCCCCCCTTTGCTATCCCCCCCTTTCGCCCGACCCGATTGTAGCCTCTTGAATCCCGTCTCTAGCGCCGATTAGCGTCTGAGAATCGATGAGCGTCGGATGGCGTCGATTAGCGTCGGTTCGCCAGGGCCAGCAAGGCGGCATGAGATGCTCCCATGAGTTGCCACCGCGAGGAGGGGAGAGGAGGATCGACGACGACAAAGACCACGACGACGCTGGAGCTGTCATTTCGGAGGAGGGGAGAGGGAGAGAGAGAGAGAGAGAGAGCAGGAGGAGGGAGGAGGCAGGTCGTCGTCGTCGTCGTCGTCGAACGAGGGCTTGGCGGATGTCAGCGCGCTCCGAGGTTCAGCAGGTATGATACTTGCCAGGGGAAAAGAGAGGCAAGGAGAGGAGGAGGAACGGGGAAGATCGGCGAGGGCCGCTGCCTCATGCGCCGCCGTGACCTCCACGGGCGGCTCCGGGAAGCGAGGAGAGGGGAGAGGCGGCGCTTCCGCGCCCCGGGGCGCCGACAAGCGGCGGCGGCGCGCCTCGCGGAGGCGTCTCGCCTCCTCCTTGTTGGCGGCAGTGCGGACTCGCTGCGCGTCGACGAGAGGCAGGGGAGCGGGCGGGGGGCGGAGAGGAGGGGGAGGAAGAGTGGGGCGAAGGACCGACCGCCCAGAGAGCCGCCCGCTCCTCTTAGGAGCCGACCTGCTGGTCCAAACTGGTTTGCTCGTCGGCAGCTTCGGTATCGACTGCAGTGCCGGCAGGGGGGAATCCTCCCCGGCGGCCTCCTCGGTATCAGGCTCCTGAAGCCGAGCCTCCTCCTGGATTTTCGACGACGACTATAGGACCGACAGAACCCTGCAAAGTCAGGCTGAAGCGCCGGGTCAGGTGGACCATCGGACGAGCAATCCTGAACATAGAGACCTTGAGCTCAGCATGCGCTCGCTCCGAGTCATGCGGCGCATCGAGGTCACAACCCGCATCAGGGGAATTGAGCAACGACCGAACGCAGTGCCAAATCGAACGAGCCAAAGCGCACACGTACCTGGCGGGTTACACCTTCTTTGAGGCGGTGCGTAAGGCACTGGACGAGCCTTTGCCGAGTAAGCCGACGTGAGCTTTCGGACCGCCACTGCACTTGCCTTTGCCAGGGGTGCAACCCAAGGCATCGTTCGAGCCAGCTATGCGAGTGGAAGCAACGCGCGTGGGAGCGCGCCCTACAGAGGCAGGATCGACCTCAGGCGCCTGGTGTTCACAATGGTCAAGGACCGTGGTGGGCGCGCACGGGGCCGACGAGAAAGCCACGAGAGGGGGCCCACGGAAACGAAGACGGAGCACGAGGGGCCCAGACCGCGGGCGTGGGGTGCTCAAAGCAAGCCTCTGCGCCTGCCCTAAGGTGTTCCGCCATAAGGCGGACAAGAGCGTGAAGCAGCTTGCTACCTACTCGAAGTTGGTTACTTTGGGGAGCCGCCACCCATGGGACCCCCCAGATAAAATCTGATGACCTAGCGGGGGAGTAGATATGCTCCTCTCCGCCTCTTCTTACACTTGCCTCTCTCGCTGCCTTCCTTACCACACCCTGACACTGCGGCTTTGCACCGCAGCTGTTTGTGCTTCCTGCGCAGCCCTCTTCGACTGGAGCAAGGCAACGTTTTCCGAGCACGAGCCGCATTCCATGCTCGAGATTATTTTCCCCCTGCCTGATAGTTAGTGTCCATGACCGCATCAGGCGAGGCGGATGGGGGACATGCTCCCATGTCTCTGACATTCGCAAGCTTCATGCAGTGCTCAGCGTTGGTGTATTCCTTCCGTCCCAGGAGAAGTGGAACATGATGGTCAAGACAGACCAGACGGCGATTGACAGAGGCTACGCAGAAGGAGTCTACGCCCTCCGCGACACCGAGTACATCCACTTGAACCACCATATAGTCATGCCGCTGAGCTGTGGGATGGTGGGAATTTGGTTATTATGGACTTCAAGATCACTGCCCCATCGTCCCATAGAGTCGAGAACAAGAGGGAAACAGCAATACGCATGCGAAAAGCATGACCTCATAGTTAGGTTTTTTTTTTCTGAGGTTCTATTTCATGACGCCGAGCCAAGCCAATGAGCGCCATCTCTGGATCTTCCATCCAGAGCACTCCCGTCACTTCGAGGTCGGCTACAAGGCTCTGGTTGGCCCTGCACCCGGCCCAGAGGGAGGGATTCCGGAGTGGCGGATAGAACTGGCGATCGGCGAAGCGACGATGCAGAGGGCGCTTCGTTCCGCACGCGAGCGGGCCACGGTCCGGCGCGCAGCGCGTGCAGAAGTCCAATCGCAGAGGCAAAAGGAAATCATGTCTGAGCCGGGGGAGGTAAGGAGGAAACGCGTCGAATTCTCCAGATAAAGGATTGGCAGTGCCGCGATCTGTGCGCGAACGGCCTGATAACGGACCAGCTCGACGAGCCCATCCTCATGGCCCATGGCCCCCAGGATATCATGACCCCTCTTTTGCAGGCCGGGCTGCCCGGAGGGCGCCCGCCACTGCGAAGCATGAAGATGGACGCGTCGACGCCCGGGGCTTCGGACCTTGACTGGCCGAACTTCCGAGCTCAGAAGAAGGAGGGGGGGAACGACAGAAAACCTGCAAAACTTGCTGCGGACCATGTCCCAGTCAGCGTCGAACCCGAAGGACCGAAGAGGTCAAGGAGCGTCATCCGCCGCGGTGGTCATGAGCTCATGCTCGCCGAAGCGGCCAGGAATTGGCGCGAATGCCAATCGGGTGGGAGACGCTCTGGCTGGGGCAACATCGGGCATGGCGGCTTCGATCGCTCGTTCGCGGCTAGCTGTCGGGCATGCTTCGAGTTCCCCGACGGGATGCTCAGCGATCAACGGCCTGACCCCAGAGACGGGGCGCCCGAGTTCCAGCCGCCGCGGCTGCCGCAGGAGGCCTTCATCTCCATGCGCCGCAAGTGCGCGCGGGCCTCGCCCGCGGCGGCTCTGGTCCTTCAAGTATGGTTATGCCCGACGGTAGGGTGCTTCCGAACGACCTATCGGTTAACCTGCTGCGCCACAGCTCGGCCAACGTGCTAAGCTCGGGAGGATGGGCGGAGGTCGACGTGCTGATTCACATGCTGACGCACGTCGGTTGCGACCGCCTGTGGTCCAGATTTCCCCGCGCCATGTCGATGCTCAATCCGAAGGACATTCAGCTACTTGGCGTTGTGGTGGACTCAGCAACGGAAGGCCCGACATACCGCCCCTGGGAATTGGATAACAGCTTCGCTGAGATCGTTCTCAAAGGGGTTGGCGCTTCGGACACCGCCTGCGACCCAAGCGCGGCCCTTGGGGGCAGCGACGACGAGCAGATCTTCATGGTCCCTGCCGTTCGTCCCCTTCTCGTCCGCGCCGTGCATGGTGACTCCCTGAGGGTCATTTATCCTTACCGACGCAGTGCACGGTGCGACCCGAACATGAGCGAAAAGCACGGGGCTCTCCTGCAACCGATGGATTTCACAGACGTTCGGCAACATCAGGGCGGCGAGGCGGCCCCACTGATCGACGCATCCACGGGACTGCGCCAATGCGGAACCGCGGCTTTCACTGTTGCATTCTCGCCGCACGCGAAGATGATCCATGATTTGAACGCGGTAGAAGACATACATGAGCCATTGTGCTAACCAGAGGCCGAAGATCTCGTCGAACGAGATGGTCAAAAGGTACGTTCCGAGTTGGATGGCAATTTCCCGACATTTCTTCAGCAGAATGGGGTGTCACTGGCTTTCAATGGCACTGCCAATCCGACTTTTCTCGACCTCGACCTTTCCATCCTGAAGGGGGCGTACTTTGCCGCTCTGAGCCCGAGGCATGTCGAGGCTCACCCGCGCTGGATGCTGCCATCGGATCAGATTTTCACGGACCGCTGCCCTCAATGGGAAGACGTTTGGCAGATCTTCGCGGTGCTGGAAGCCCCTAAGGATTAGCTCGCGTGACATGTTTGTTCTATGACTGGCGCCTCGCTATGCTGCAGGTCGCCCCCATCCTGCATGCGGGGTGGATTGGCTTCCTGGGGCCGGGTCGACAGATCCTGAACAACGTCTCTGAGGACAGGTTGGACGTCGTCCTGTGGCAGGGCGTCAAGGAGCCCCCCACCTGGGAAGATAACATATGCCTCGTCTGTCTGGGGCACAAGGCCCGCTTCGGCACGACGGCCCGCGGCGTGTGCCACGAAGAGATTTTCTACGAGGCGCCCCGGTGGCAGCCCAATCGTCTCCGGCCTGCAGTTGATTGGCGACATGTCGGGATGCATAAGGAGTGGCCCCGGCAATCTGCCGCCGCGCTCCATGAACTGAGCGGCAGGAGAAGCCGCCAGAAAAGGGCCAGAGCGACTCAAATGCAGAATTCTGATAGAACACAGGGTCGCTGGCAAGAGAACTGGAGTAAAGACACTCCAAAAACAGCGTTGAAGGGCTGGTACTCCGCAATGGCGGGGAAGACGGCCACGTCGTCGGAGGAAAGGTCCGCGTTCGCCTGGGACCCGTCGTCACCGACGGACATGCGCCTTGCCCATGGCAACAGGGTGCGCGAGGGAAAAGGACACACATTGGCGCGCAGATGGCTACACTATCAGGAGTGCCGCCGCCAGCAGCCCACCGGCAATAATGCCGCTTGCCCGTCATGGAAATGGTTGGCATACCTGCCTCGCCACGTCGACTTGACCGACAAGGGAGCGGACATGGGCATCCTCAACATTTCGGCTGGGGGCACCACGGACCCTGACGCCCGTGAGAAGTTCGTGCCCAGCATGGGATGGGGCGCCTGGTGCACCGACAACCGAGTCAACCTCCCAAGGGGCCCATGGGGCCTCTGGCTGCTGATTCAGGAAGCTACTGGCGAGGAGGAAGATAGAGATGACGAAGACAACGCCCCTAGGGGAAACATCTGCACCTCGGCCTCGGTCCGGCCATCTGCCGCTGCCCATGGCAAGCGTGGCAGATCCCGCAGCCGCACGAGGCAATTACAGACAGGAGACGCGCCTCGGGCATTCGGCGGCAACGCCATGCGCAAGCGTGACAAGTCGCATGCTCCATGGCGCGATGTCCACAATCCAGACGACCTGCTGCTGTCTACAGCATTGCGAGGGCGGCAGAGGAACTCGCAACGTACTTTGCTGCCGCCGAAGAGCCTGAGGAGCATCATCCCGCTGGAGACGTCTCTACCTGTGCGGCGAGGATCCGCGAGTTGTGGTTCGACCCGCCGGACTTCTGCGTCTATGACCCTGACTCCCCTTCGCAGAAGGCGAGGTGGATGCCGGAGCAGGTCTACAGACTGGCCATTAAGCTCACCAAGGACATCGCGTGGACCGAACTTGACCCGGAGACCGCGGATGAGGACGCCATGTGGACTCATCTTGCGGAGGTCGGCCAGTGCCGAGCTAGCTTGGTGAATGAAGTCCACCTCCTCAAAGCTCATCGTGACATGCTGGACCTGGTCTACCGCGACATGCGCCTGAATCGGGCAGATGCGCCGCCTATCTCGACCGACGCCCGCGAGATCGAGGCGCGCAAGCAGTGCCTGCAGCAATCGGGGGCCAGAGCGCTCAGGCGCGGATTGCGCAGGACGCCAGACACCTTCCAGCGCGCCGCGGTCCGGAGGTGGCCGCTGCACGTTCACGAGGCAGCTGTTCATGCCCTCGCCCATTTGGGGGCAGCACGGAGCGACGGCGCTCAACCCTGATCAAGAGCGCCCAACCTCAAGATTGCCCATGGAACGTGAGGAACAAAGGGGCCGCCCGAGGGCAACGACTGCTAGGTCGGCGCGGCCTGCCAGTCGCAAGCGCGCCCTGAGCCACCATCCACCACGGGATGACAGGGCGACTGCGGCGCCGCGGACCGGGCTCGGAAGGGGGGGCGCCCCTCGTCGCGCGACCCCGCCGCCTGCTGCAGCCGCGGAGACGGACAGGGGCAAGCGTGCCCGCGCAGAGGCGGGCGACCGCGCAGCGCCCCCGCCTTCGGCGAAGGCGCGGTCATGCCGCTACACGGACGTGCGCGAGCCGGTCCGTAGCGGCGCAGCTCCTTCCAGATCCCAGCGCAGCCAGCCCGGCTCCAGCCCGCGCCCCTGGCACGATCGGAGGCGCAGCCAGCCCCCCGACGCTGGCGCCTGGAGCGCGTGGAGGGGCTCCTCCCGCCGGGCCGGGAGCAAGGGGGCGGGCAAGGGAGACCGCGGCAAGGGCGGTCGCGATAGCTGGGGAGACCGCCGCGGCGACGGCTGGGACTGGCCCTGGCGTCGCAGCGACGGCTGGGGCCGGTGGAAGCACCATGGGCCCATGGCGCTATGGTGGCTGAACCGGTAAAACCACCGTAAGCCCGTGGCGAGATGGTGGCTATACCGTGGCGCGCTGGGCTGCTGGTGGCTGCGTGAGCTTCGCGCCCGTGCCCGGCTCAATTCGGCGCCGTCGGTGACGCGAGGCCCCGACGGTGCAGCGTCGGCCCTGGCCGGCTGCTGCGGCCGGGCCGCCGCGGGGGGAGTCGTTGCCACGCGTCTCCCCGCCGCCGTTTATCTACATACTTTTTATACTTTGAACAGCATGTTGGCTAATCCACAGCTGTTTGGGGCTAGAGAGAAAAAAAGCGCGCGACATCATATTTTCTTTTCTCCCCATCCGCTTAACGGACAGTCGAACCTCATACTTTGACGGCTGACGCCGTACATATTGCCGCCATGGTATCTCGGGGATCCTCGATCCCGAGACGTTCCTTGGAGCCACTGTTAGGAGTGCCACATATACCACCAGTACATCCGGATCATATTGGCCCTAGTGGGGTGAAGATCTGTTGATTACGATGAGACGTCTCATCACTATGACGATGATATCCAAGTCGATGCTGACGATGACGACGAGGGTGGCGATGATTGGGGCGCGGCGGCGGCGACGACGACGACAGATGGCGCGCGACGACTACAGACGGCAGACGGCAGACGACAGACGACGACGAAAACTGTGAGGACAACGATGACGATAACGGCGATGGTGGCGGCGACAACGAGGAGGACGACGACAGGATGGACCTCAAATAGATATTGCTGACCCGTCGCGAATCCCCACCAGCCCATCCAGAAAGGATGCCCAGAAGAATTGCCTCGACCAGGGAAGAGGGCAGCACGCAGAGGAAGCCATTATGAGACATCTCGGGGTATATTGAGCCATCTCGGAGGTCATCTTGGGCTCCCCCAGGCGGTCTTGGAGCCATCTGAATCAGTGCCCCCCCCAAAAGGCCAACATGTGGCGAGATCCTTGGTTAAAACAGTGATTTGGCATTCTCGCCGAGGGCTCTTGGAGCATCTTGGGTGCCTCTGGGGGGGTCTTTCGGGGCCTCCCGTGGGTTTTTTGGGGGCCTCTTGGGGGCATCCTGGGGGCCTCTGGGGGTTTCCTGGCCGCCTTGGGGGGGGGGGGGCCGCGTGGGGCACCCTTGGGAGCCTTGTGGGGCATTTTGGGGCCATATTGGGCGAGGTCGATCACAGGAGGGGTGTGTGCTAATTACCCCCCCCCCCCCCCAAAGCAGGCCAACATGAAGCCAAAACGCGGGTAAAACCAATGATTTTGGTTTCCTCGCCGAGGCCGTTGTGGACGCTCCGACACCTCGCGGAACCCCCTGTCCAGGTCCATGGGGAGGGGTTCGGGGGAGGGGTAAACCCTTCCCCGAAGGGGAAGAAGGAGGAGTGGAAGAGGAAACGCTCTAAACCACCGACGCGCGGAGGGTTAGTAAAATTAACCTGGGTTTATAATGTTTTGGGATTGTTGACCAGGGTTCATAATGTCTCGGCCGGAACATTCTGAACCTGGGCTTAAATTTTCTGGGAACCTTGTATGGGGTTTATAATGTTCCCCCGGAACATTATAAACCCTGGTTTATAATGTTCTGGGGATATCGAACCCAACAACAATTTTACCTGGATTCATATCGTTCCAGGAATATTGACTGTGGTTTACAATGTCCAGGGAATCATGATTTCGGTTTTCGTCATTCCAGAATGAGAATAATTGTTGTTCCCCATCAACCCCTGGGTTCCTCACCAGGTTTTCATGTCGGAATACTGACCTCAGTTCATTATCTCCAGGAGATCATCTATTCTCGGATTCGTAACGTTCCCGGATTATTGACCCTGGGTTCATTATTCTGGAATCATAATGAATGAGCCTGGGGGGCGCCGTTTGAAGGTACGTTCAGGCTTGAAATAAACCGGGATTCGTAATTTGGGAATATTATACTTCGGCTGATTATTCCAGAGAGATAATGATTCGGCCCGGGGCGGGGCTGAGCCCAATCCATTCACAGGGCAATAATCCATAATATCTGAAGATAATGAACCTAGGTTGTCATTCCTAGATAATATACCACGGTCGACGAGGATTCCGCGCCCACCCTCCAGGCCGACGACGACGACTATGATGACGAGGTCGAGGAAGAAGAGGACGAGGAGGTTGAGGAGGGGGGGGAGGAGGTGGAGGAGGAGGAGGAAGACGACGATTCACAGTTCGAGGAGCAGCAGGAGGCGCGCGTCTCGGAGCGCCAGCGCGCGCCTCGGGACGCCCCCCCCCCGCGCTCCTGCCATGGGGCGGCAGGCGCGGCCCGCCGCGGCCGCGGCCGCGGCCGCGTGGCGCGTGGCCGCGGCGGCCTGCCGCGGTCGGCGGCGCCGCGTCGCCGCCCAGCTGGGCGCCGCGTTGCTCCTCCTCTCGGCGACTACAACGGGTGGGTCAGCGGCAACGCTAGGGGGGGATAGGCACCACCCACCAAACCACCCCAACCCAACCCGAAGGCCTCGATTTTCCTTCCATTTCCAGTGGGGGGGGGTCGGGGAACGTTGAAAAAACACATGGTATCCGTACCCCCCCCAACCCGAAATTCGGGTCAAATTCGGGTCTTCGGGTTGGGTTGGGGTGGTCTGGTAGGTGGTCGGATAGGCACAGGGGGGACGCATCGATCCCCAATCGCCTATTGATCGCCGATATAGGGCTCTGATGGCCCTCGCGGCGCTCGCGGCGGGCTGATCCTCGCAGACTGCCGACGTCCCCGCCGCTCCCCTCGCTCTTCTCCGCAACTGTGGGGTGTTCCGTACAACGAGCCCGCCGCAAACGCCGATTTTCTCGTCAGAGCATTGGGTGGGTCTCGGGTGGGTCGTGGGTGGGTCGCGGGTGGGTCGCGGGTGGGTCGCGGGTGGGTCGCGGGGTGGGTCGCGGGTGGGTCGCGGGCTGGGGGTCGCTCGCGGGTCGGTCGCGAGGTGGTTCGCGGGTGGGTTGCGCGTTAGACGACGACAACAAGCAACAAGCAACAATTATCCCGGCAAAGCAACCTAACAGCGATGTGTATAAGCATATTTGGAAGCATTCCCCTGAATATTCAGGTGAGAATCCAGTTGTAGAATTTTGCTGTTTTCGCAGTCGCAGTCGCATTCGCAATGACAGTCGCAGTGGCAACGGCCTTAGGATCCAATGGAATTCTAAGGATTCCTACGACATCCTTAGGCATCCTTAGGAATCCATAGGAATCCTTAGGAAACCTTTCAGGAATTCTTAGGAATCCTGATTCCTAGGGATCCCTAGGGATTCCTAAGGATTCCTAGGGAATCCTAAGGATTCCGAAGGATTCGCCTGCCTCGGCCTCAGCCTCAGCCTGCCTCAGCCTCAGCCTGCCTCAGCCTCAGCCTCAGCCTGTCTCAGCCTCAGCCTGCCTCAGCATCAACCTCAGCCTCAGCGTCAGCCTGCCTCGGCTTGCCTCGGTCTCAGCCTCAGCCTGCCTCGGCCTCAGCCTCAGCCTCAGCCTGCCTCAGCCTCAGCCTCAGCCTGCTTCAGCCTCAGCCTGCATCAGCCTCAGCCTCAGCCTGCCTGAGCCGCAGCTTGCCTCAGCCTCAGCCACAGCCTCAGCCACAGCCTCAGCCTCAGCCTGCCTCAGCTTCAGCCTCAGCCTCAGCCTGCCTCGGCTTGCCTCAGCCTCAGCCTCAGCCTGCCTCGGCCTCAGCCTCAGCCTCAGCCTGCCTCAGCATCAGCGTCAGCCTCTCAACCTCAGCCTGCATCAGCCTCAGCATCAGCCTCAGCCTCAGCCTGCCTCAGCCTCAGCCTCAGCCTGCCTCAGCCTCAGCCTGCCTCAGCCTCAGCCTATGGCACAGGACTGGTGTTCTGGGAAGACGAAGATCACGAAGTTGCCCACAGTTAGCTCCGGGCAATCAAAATATGGTACAGGAATGGTTTTCTGGGAAGACGAAGAACACGAAGTGGCCTACAGTTGGCTCCGGGCATTCAAAACGTGGCCTGGGAGTGGTGTTCTGGGAAGACGAAGAACACGAAGTGGCTTACAGTTGGCTCCGGGCATTCAAAATGTGGCCTGGGAATGGTGTTCTGGGAAGACGAAGAACACGAAGTGGCCTACAGTTGGCTCCGGGCATTCAAAACGTGGCCTGGGAATGGTGTTCTGGGAACGCGAAGAACACGAAGTGGCTTAAAGTTGGCTACGGGCATTCAAAATGTGGCATGGGAATTGTGTTCTGGGAATGGATTCCTGAGGATTCCTATCCTGGGGCTTCTGGATCTGCCGGATCCTCTTTCCGGTTCCCGCCCAGACCCCCCTGGGGCGTCAAGATGTTTTTTTTTTGTGCCCGCTAGAAACCTATCAGCAAAAGCTGTTAGGTAAATAGCGCAACAACAATCCGCACCGCGGAACCTCACTTCAGCCGCGACTGCGGCGAGCTTTTTCAGAGCCTCGCAGACTGCCGACGTCCCCGCCGCCCCCTCCTCTTATCCGCAACTGCGTCCAGGGTGCTACGGCATTTAGTTTCCATTCTGAAAGGGGTTTTCTCAAAGACATATTCGGGTTACGCCGAGGTGTGGTTTGCGACCGGCGCCGTTGGGATTGGGGGGGAGCACCACGTCGCCTCAAAAGTTTGACGATCTCTCGTCGGGGCGCGGCGGAGATCTCTGTCGAGGTCCTCGCCCGCCCCCCGATGGGTGCGCGCTGCAAATCACACCCTTCGCAAATTACACCCTCTGGAGTCGCCGATCCTCGCGCTGCGGCCGGCGGCGCCGCCGGGCTTCTCCGCCGCACGGCCAGGCGGCGCTCAGAAGCTCCCCGAGATCTGGGCGCTGCAGTCCTGTGGCGCAGCGGGCGTCCTTCGCCCGGTCTGCCAGGCCCTGGGGCCATCACAGGTCGATGTTGTTCGAATTGTGATGCAGGAAGATGGGGACTGGGGCTCTGGTCGTGATGTTTCGCGATGTTGCGATGTTTGTCGCAACCTCGGATCTCAGGTTCGGCTTCAATATTTCCTGGTGGAGATTATGTCCTCCTGCTGCTTCGGCAGCAACTCGTGGGAGCTTTGTGTGTGTCCTCGGAGCTCTGTGTTCGGAGTGTATTAGCGTGCGCTAGCGTCCGGTAATCGATGGGGAAGTGCGGATCTAGAGTCGATGAATGCCGATTTAGTATCGTTTAGCGTCGATTCGCGTCGATTCGTCGATTCGCAAGAGCCAACAAGATGGTGTGGTAGGCTCCCATGAGTTGCCGCAGAAGGTTCAGGGCGCTCTGGGGGTCCTTCGTGGTCCCGGCTCGACCTGGCTCCGGACATCAGCTGGCGTGGACCCAGGGATGGGTTTGTGGGCTAATTTGGAGCGGACTGTGGGGCGATATCTCGCGCGTGAGAGTGACCCCTTGGCTCAGTGACTTTTGATGCGGGCACACTGGGGTCCCTTGATCGCAGAACGCAATGCGATAGTAGCGTCTTGTGCACTTGAGTTTGGCCCCCCTGAAGCCGCGCTCCAAAGGTCACTCTTGCCGCGGGTCACTCTTTGCGTGTAGCCGAAGGGTGGGTGCGGAGGGGGGGGAAGGCCCTCTGAGGTGGCAAGATGCTTTTTCGGGGGGGGGCTCGGAGGCCTCTCCGAGAAGTCGGGAGACGGGGGGCGGCGGCAGTGCCGACGACGATGACGTCGATCACGACGACGATTCCGACGACGACGACGACAAACCACGACAACGAAAGACAACCGCCGACGGCCTCCACAGAGTGGCAGAGGCTTCCGAAGGCCTCCGGAAAGTTCACAAGGTCCCTGTTATTACGCCGCGATACGTGCAAGGACTACCAGTCGCGACGATGGCGAGGACAATAAGGGCAGCGAAGACGGCCCCCAGTAGGTCCCCAAGAGGGCAAGATCAGTATTCCCCCCGCGCCACCCCCTCCTTCAGGGGCAACGGCGGGGGGAAGCATTGACCCACAGTCGCCCATGCATCACCATTGGAGCCCGTGTGCCCCCACCTGCCTGGGGATGTGCGGTTTCGCTATCGAGAGCCTGTCACCGATCTAACGGTGACGTATCGCCGATTCCAGGCCAAAGCTTGCCCCCCTGAGCTGGTCCCCTCGTGGTTTTCGGGACATAGCTCGGGCCTCTGGCGGCCGTTCGGGACGATTCTGGCACCCCCGGAACGCTGTCGGCGAGGCACAGCCGCTGGAAGGCATCCCGAGGGTGGAAAGCAAGGCGCCAACCAACGCGATCGAACACCTCGGGCCTCGGAACTTCTGCGCGCCGCTAGCATCTGGCGGGGCATCCGGCCGGCTTGCCGTGGTGCTCGACGTGGACGAGTGCTTGGTACACAGCACGGACTGGGCGGACGCCGGCGGCGCGGCGGACGGCTTCCGCCAGGCCGAGGCGGTTCGCCCGGACCGGGCAGACGCCGGTGGGGTGGACAGCTTCCGCCTTTCGGTGGCCAGCGGCTCCGACCAGTTCAGCTTGAAGAAGGAAAAACGGCACAGGCATAAACCTTCGGGAGTGCGCGGATTTCTTGGCTCGGCGCTTGGACCACCCGTGCGACGCCTCTCGCGCCGCTCCTGGCACGCTCCGCGCGCCAGGGAGGGGGGTCCAGCGCCGACCCAAGGAATCCGCTTGGAACTTTGAATGTTTATGCTTGTGCAGATTTTTCTTCTTCTGCCAGCTGCACAGTGCTCAAACGCGCGGGCCTGGACGAGTTTCTGCGGGAGTGTGCCGAGCTGTTCGACGTGTTCACATTCACCGCCGGGACTCGGCCGTACGCTGAGCCGCTGCTGGACAGGCTGGACCCAGAGCACAGCCTGATCAAGGGCCGCTTCTACAGGACTGACTGCCGGGAGGTGCGCGTTCCTGGGCGCGGCTACCAGTACTTGAAGGACCTCGCCGCCGTCACTGGCGACATGCGGCGGGTGGTGCTGGTGGACATCAGGGGCAACGTTGGGGGGGGGATGGGGCTCCTGGGGGGGATGGATGGGCCCTCAATCGCCCATTCATTGCCGACAGAGGCCCGATGGTCCGTCCCGCCCAGGAGCTAGCGGATTCGCTATCGAGAGCCCATCGCAGATCAAATAGCGACGTATCGCCGATTCCAGGCCACGGTTCGCCACCAGGAGCTGGCCCCCAGGTGGTTTTCGGGTCATGGCTCGAGCCTCTGGCGGCCGTTCTGGCCCCCAGAACGCTGCCGGCGAGGCGCAGCCGCCGGAAGGCATCCCGAGGCGGGAAAGCCGCCGGGAGCCAACGAAAGCGATCGAGCACCTCAGACTTCGAGCCTCGAACAGCTCCGTTCTCCCCAACGCTGTCGTGCAGGACAACAACCCCATGTCCTTCCTCTGCCAGCCGCAAAACGGGATCCCGATCGCGGACTTCGTCGGAGGCGGGCCCGACGGCGAGCTGGCCCGGGTGCTGGCGCTGCTGCGGCGCCTGGACGCGGAGGACGACGTGCGGCCGGTGCTCGACGGCATGTTCGCCCTCGAGGGCAAGGCCGCGTCTTTCCGGGGGGCGGCTCAGAGGTCGGCCCCGGCGCCGATCTCTCGGCACGGCCGATCTTCGAGCATTTTCTCTGGGTGGAGGGCAAAGGGTGAAGTCTGGAATGCCGTTTCGATGGATCTTCGAGGCTCGAGTCTGCAGAAGGTGAGTCACGAAGGCGGATTGATCTTCGAGGTGCAGAAGCCCATATGGATTTCACCCTGAGCCCTCCACCCTGAGAAAATGATAAGGATCTGTGTGCGGAAAGCACGGGGGCGAAGACTGGCACGTGGCCCTTCTCGTTCTGAACAGGGCGTGCTGTCGGTGACGCCGCGGACGCTGTCCATTTGAGACGGAAGGCTGACTGTCCAGGAGCGGCCGTTGCTGGTTTCTGGACTGCCCAGGGGCGGTCGCTGCTGGTTTTTCCATACCCGTCGGTGTCCAAAATATCGGCGCTTGCCTCCGCCGAGGGAAGATGCTCCCGATCATGCCGATAGCGGGGGTCCCCTCGGCCGAGTGAAGATGTTCCCGATCACACCGATTTTGGCGGTTGCTTCCACCGAGGGAAGATGCTCCCAATCTCGGTGATGGTGTTAATACTCGGGATGCGTAGGTGGCGGGAAGATCACCACCAGCACCACAATCTAGGATCGTCCTCCCCTGGTGGGGTCAGCCCCCTGCGTTCGTTGGTGTTGGTTCGAATTTCGAGGCATGCAAGTTTTCTCGAGGGGGACGCGGGAGGGAGCGTTCGCCATGAACAAAAGACGATTCGGGATCGTGTTAGTTGGAAGTTATATATGAACCGTTTTGGGGAGTTTGGGAGGCTTCTAGTCGCCACGACAGCTGAATCCACTTCGAATTTCTTGTCAAGACGCACTCCAGGACAGGTCTTTTGGGGGATTTTTGGACCCAGGATCCAGATCGCTGTAAAGGAAAGGGATGTTGTAGGAAGGGGTCCAGGAGGTGTCTCGCCCTTCCCTGTGCCCCAGTGCCATCAGACAGCGGCTCAGGATCAGGAAGAAAAACTAGAAGCTCCGAGTTCGATGACCCGTTTCCACTGGAACCCTTTTCCCTCGTGCCGAGGGGCGTCACGTTCTTGATTCGCTGGCGGGAGACATCTAGTCCAGGGGTGGGTACGTACTTGCAGTCCGGACGGAGGTTTCCGCTAGTCCAGGGCTGGGTACTTGTTGTCCAGGGGGTAATTAGTTCTAGTCCAAGGGCCCAGACCTATTGAGGGACATGGAGTGATGCTCGATTTCCAGGCGCTCTGGGAGCCTTCCGAGACCTGTGCTGGTTGCGCTGTCGCGCTGGCTCCGCCGGCTGCGGCCCAACCTTGCTCCGCTGGTGCGCCTGAACCCACAGCCCTGGTCTGCGTTGGTGAGGTTGACGGGCTCGTGGCGGGGTGGTCCTGAGTTTGGGTTCGGTCAAATGGGTTTGGGCAGCAGTCCTGTGGACACCAGGCCAGAAGCCAAAACAAAATCATGGAGAGGAAAGTCAAACTCAAAAGAAAATGAAGATCACGTTACGGGAATCAAGCTCTCCCTCAACAAAGTTTCGAAACGACCACTTTCGTAAATTCAACATGGTCTCAGCGAGTTTTGAGTTTGCCCGGGTGTTGATGTTTTGTTATGGTTTGTTCGAAACACGGGTTCGAATTGTTGATTTGCCTTTCTGTTGTTTGAGCGTTAGTTTGTTCGTTGCTGTGGAGTGTTTCTTGAGATTTCAGTCGGTTCGGTGTTTTCGGAGGCTGTTTTTGACCCCCATTGCGACAATGGGCGTGACCCGGGGCTGGGAGTGGGCCTGTCACGTCATGATTCGCGCCGCTGCCGTCTGGGAATGCTCAGGAATGGTTCATTCCCACACGACGCCAGCTCGAACCGTGATGTGACCAGGGGGGTGGGCGGTCACGGCCGTTGTCACGAATAATGGCAAACGGGTTCCTGCTATTTCTGTTGAGTTCTTTTCATTTTGAATCGGGTCGATCTTTGGAGTTGGATTGCAGTTTTGCCCAGACTTGTCTTGGTGTCGCTCGAAATTGGAGTGGAGACTTCTCATAGATGAGGTTCCGTTTGTTATAGGCTTTTTTTTCAAAATTTTCTCTTGTTATTGAATTTCCAATCGTTTTTCGATTTCTTGAATGATGCAGGCCTGGACTGGGCAGGAGAAGCAGCCAGAGCGCCATGCGGCGCAACACGTCACGCGGGCATACTGCAGAGCAGTTTGCGCCGCCGCATCCGATTCGGCGGCCACGTAGTCACTGGGGCAATGTAGTTCTGTGGCTGAGTGGCACAAGCGAGGGGCCCAGACGTTTTTGGTGGTGCAGCCATTGATTGCTGTCATCGTCGTCGCCGTCGCCGTCATCGTTGTTGTAGGCTTTCGGGTCATCTCGGTGGTGAAGGTAGTGGTTGCTGTCATCGTCGTCACCGTCGCCGTCATCCTTGTCTGGTTTCCGGGTCATACTTCAGGTCTATGGCGGCCGTTCGGGAAGATGTAGGCACCCCAGGAACGCCCTCGACGAGGCGCAGCTGATGGAAACCACCCTGGGCCTCGAGAGGTTCCTGAAACTATCGAAAGCCGCGAAAGCCCTCGAAAACTTCCCCCCGAGCCCGTCGTCGTCGTCGCCGTCGTCGTCGCCGTCGTGGTCGTAGTCGCGGTCTCCGTCGTCGTCGCCGCCGCCGTCGGCCGCCGCCCCTCCCAGCTGGCCTCGCTGCGCCGGGAGTTCCTCGGGGCGCCCGCCCCTGTCGGCGGCGCGGGGTCGGCGGGCTTCGTCGACTGACCTCGGGCGGTGGCGAGGGGGCCCCGCGCGTGCGAGCGGCGTGCGCGTCGTCGTCGTCGTCGTCGTCGTCGCCGTCGTTGTGGTGATGGTAATGGTGATGGTGGTGGTGGTGGTCGTCGTCGTTGTCGTCGTCGTCGGCGTCGGCGTCGGCGTCGGCGTCGAGGTCGACGTCGGCGTCGGCGTCGGCGTCGTCGTCGGCGTCGTCGTCGTGTCCGTCGTGATCGTGGTCGCACTCGTCGTTGTTGTCGTCGTGTTCGTGATGATCGTGGGCGCACTGGTCGTTGTCGTCGTCGTCGACTTTGTCGTTGCCCTCCTCCTCCTCCTCCTCCTCTTCCTCCTCGTCCTCCTCGTTTTCATTCTCCGCAGGAAGAGGGAGGATGGAGGATGGGAGGAGGGGGTTTCGAGTGATCATGGAAGCTTGGAGAGGGGAGAGGGCATCAGGAAACCGAGAGCAACAGGCCGAGGATAATTTGGAGGATCACGTTTGTAGAAAGGGGAGCAGGACATGGGGGTGAGGAGGATGAGGAGGAATCCGAGGAGGATGAATGGGAATGGGAACAGGAGGAGGAATCAGACAGGAGGTATTGAGAAACAATACAGATGAGGAATGATTACTCGGAGAGGAGGATGAGGTAGGTAGGGATGGATGAATAGAGGTAGGGATAAGAGGAGACGGAGGAGGAGGAGGCGGAGGAGGAGGAGGAGGAGAAAGAGGGGGTGCAGGAGAGTTGGAGTATGCGGGTGAGATGAGAATGCCATAGCACTAGAGGAGAGCACGCTGTCGCACAGAGGTGTTTTTTTCAAGCGTTAATGAGCGGTCCGTGCAAGCAATGGTGATACACAGCGGACCCCGGACAGTCCCCGTGCTTCGCGAAGATAACATACCAGGAGAGAAGGCTGGGGATGAGGAGGAGGAAGGAACTAACGCCCTGAACCCTCGTTGTGCCCCTTCTCCACTTCTTTTGTTTTCCCGTGCACCATTCAGATCCGTTTGCCGCATCCAGCCGTGGCGACGCGGGGGCCCAGAAAGGCCCAACAATCGGACGATGAGGAGGAGCATCTTCCCTCACCCTGCGCCGATTCATCGAGTAGGATTGGGCCGCAAGGGTCCATGGGCCCGAGCCTGAGCGAGCGCGGAAACACCGTTTCATGACACCTGGGTCCATTTGTGAGGGTCCGTGGGGCCGAAGCCAAGCTGGACACATCCGTTTCACGATGCCCAGAAAACCCGGGTACATAATCCGACCGTGCGTGCTATTTCTAGTAGGTCTTCTGGACTGCGCCGGGGTGATTGGGTCCCTCGTGTCGTACCGCAAAGGTCATACACATACACATATGTGTGTGTGCATTCATGTATGTGTATCACAATATACGTTTTAGTAGGTTCGCTTACAATGATGTAGGTTGTATGTGTGTACATAAAGATGTGTGCATACCGGTATCGATTCGCCCCTCCCCCAAGGGCCCAGCACTTACCAGCCATAAGGTGTAATTTCGACATGCCCTCTTCCGAGCCTCCAAGACGGTTAAAATGGGCCCCAAGAGGCCTCCAAGATCCTCCAATGAGGCCTTCGAGACGGCCCAAGAGGTCTCCAAGACGCCAAAGACGGCCTCAACACAGCCCCAGAGGCCCCCCTAAGCGACCCGACAGGCTCCAAGGGAACCCCCCATAGGGTCCCAAGTGGGTGGCTCCATCCGATTGAGCCTCCGTGCCTAAGCCTTCATTGTGCCGAATAAGTTCCACCTGAAAAAAAAGGTGGCTCCATCTTTTCCGGGGAGGCCCACATGGCCTCCAGAGCACGCTTGACGAGGCCTGGGGCCAGGATCGCACCCAGCAGCTCGCAGCCTCCGACTTCAGGAGCCCCCCGCCGATTCTCTGGCCGCCTCCCATACGCCGCCGCCGCCGCCAGCGTCGTCGTCGCCGCCAGCGTAGCCGCCGCCGCCGCCACAGCCGCCACAGTCGTCATTGCCGCCGACTTCGCCGCCGACGTCGCCGCTGCCGTCGTTGCCGCCGACGCCTCGCCGACGCCGTTGTTGCCGCCGCCGTCGTCGCCGTCGCTGCCCTCGCCCTCGCCCTTGCGGTCGCCGCCGCCGCCGTCGTCGCCTGGGTGTCGCGCCGCTTGTCGACCACAGACACGCGACGTCTGGAGTTTTCAACAGGCAGTCCCCCGAAGTCCCGACTCCTTCCCCAGGGCCAGTCTTCCACCCCGAGCCCATTTCTTTGACGCTCCCAGGGCCGGGCGAGGGCTCCAGAAGCCGAACACGGGCACAAACGTCCTGTCGTAAAATTCCACGGCGCGAGCATGTCTGGGACTGGAGCCTCCGTGCGCACGCGCGTGCGCGCGCGCGTGCTCCGAGCGCTCTCAGCGCCTGGGGCCGCGCGGCCGCGGCATGGCCTCTGGGGCATGGCGCGCCCAGGGTTGGTCAGGCGGGGGCCTCGGCGGATTCGATGTCTGTCACCGGGAGTCTTGGGCGTCGAAGTTGAAATCGGCTTTCCCTGCATTTAGACCGCATCTGGATCGCATTCGGCCCAACATCCGGTTCCAAATGTCTTCCAAATTTGGTCCAAATCTAGCCCAAATCGGATCGCGCCAGGGGCCACGTAGGCTCCCGTGGAATGTACACCAAAGGCAAGCGGAGGGCTCTCCTCGCGAGAAGAGTCAATATTCACCGTGACCGAGAGATGCCGCGGGATCTTGTCGATACCGCTCTCGAACATGGTCCATGCTGTCCGCCGCCGATCCACCAGGATGATCCACGAACGGACGCTGACCGAGATAGACGATGGCCATGATGGGCACCAACGTTTCTGCGTTCAGTCTTGGTCATGGACACCGTTTTCTGTCCTGGCGATTTTGTAGGAACAAGCAAGGCATATGCATAAACGAAAGCAGCGTCCGCGCATATGGAGTCAAGGTTTTGCTTTGGCCCTTGGAGCAGCGGAGACGGTGTACTCGAAGTCGGATGGTTTGGTATTTGGACAATTATGTTTGCAACTCCCGCGTGGCCTTCCGAATGGAGATCGAGACGTGGTACATTCGTTGCACGTTTGTGAGCTCACACGCAACTTGACGGAGGGTGGTTGGGTGACGCTGTGTGTGGCACCACCCCTGTGAACTTCGGTGGATCTCCCTACGGGACCGCGAAGCGCGTGAGGGGTGGGCCGAAAGGGCTGTGGGCCCTGTGTGGCACCGCCCCATAAGGGGTCTTCAGCAGAGCTCCCGTGTGAGGGGTGTGCCGCGATGGCATGCGGAGAGCAGAGGCAGGGAGAAGGGAGGAATGAGGGAGGAAGAGGACGGACTAAGTGACTACGTCAGGTCGGGTGGCCTGCTGCCGCGGGAGAGGAGCCTTCCTCCTGCCCGCAGCCGAGGCGCGGGGCGCTGCTGCTTCAAAACCAGGGCACCTCACCACAGGATGTTTGGGAAGCACTCGTCCGAAACCAGGGGGTTCCCCCCCGCACAAAAGTGGGGAGGGCCCGACCCCTCCCCCACTTCTCCTCCCCCCCCTCGCACGCAAGGGAGGAAGGGGTTTGAACCCCTCGCCCCCCCGCCCTCACGCAAAGGGGGGGGATTCCCTCCCCCCCCGCGCCAGCGAGCGAAGAGTATGACGACGACGACCACGACGACGACGACGACGACGACGACGACGATCACGACGACGACGACGGTCGCCGCCGAGGCGGGGGCGCGGCGAGCCACCTGGCGCTGGTGGCGGGCGGCACCGCCACTCGGCCGCGCCAGGCGGCAGTCGTCGTCGCTCTCGCCGTGGTCGTCGTCGCTCTCGCCGTGGTCGTCGTCGTCGTCGTCGTCGTCGTCCCGTCGTTGTCGGACAAGAACGGGGGGAGGAGGGGATAGAGAGAGAGAGGTTTAGGAGCTGGAGGGGCACGAACGGGAGGATGTAAGAAGAGGGTGATGGGGGGCGATGGGGGGGAGGGGAAGGAGGGGGAGGGGGCTTCCCCGCTTCCCCTCCAACATCCTGCCCCCCTCTTCCCCTTCCTCCTCCCTTCTCCCTTCGCCCTAATTTTTCCCTCCTCCCTCCTATTTCTCGCTGCGTTCTCGTTCCCGCGTGGACGCAGGGAGAAAGAGGAGGAGGGCGGAGGAAATCTTTAGGGCGAATGGGGTAGAGAGGGGGGAGGGGAAGAGGAGGACGAGGAGGAGGAAGGTGACGAGGAGGAGGAGGAGGAGGAGTCAAGTTAGCCAGGTCTTCCGTTTACGAGGCGGGAGCGCGGTCAAGTCGTTCTGCCAAGTCGTGCAGCCATTGGTTTTTCTGTTATGGGAGAGGGTGAGAATGGGCGGGCCCTGCCGACTCGGACAGCGCTCGCGCGCGGTCCCGCTCCTGGCGGCCTGGCGAAGGGAACATCGCGGGCAGCGCTCGGGCGGGCGCGGAACTCCGGCGGTGCGGCGACATCACCATGCAGCCCTCCATCGGGCGGCCGCGTTTGTGAGGGCCGCGGCGCGCGGCACGAGCGAAGCCCGCGCCGCGCCGCCGCTCACGCGCGCACGCAGCTGCGCGGCGCCTGGGCGAGGACCGCCGTTTCGCCCGCGCGCGCGCGGCCCCGCCAGCGGCCTCGCTCTCGTGCGGTTCGGCGAGCGGCACACTCGCCGCGCCCTCGCGGGAGCGCCCCGCGCAGGCGAGGTCCGCGCGGAGCGTCAGGCGAGGGCGGCACGCCGCCCGCTCGCGTGCGGCCCGGGCCCCCAGCCGCTGGGCGAGTTGAAGATGTGCGCTGCGCCGAGGTGGGAGCGCCACGTTCGAGCGACATCTGCGCGGGCATGGATGCGAGGGTGACATGTTCGTCCGCTCGCGCTTCGAGGAACTGGTGGGCGAACAGTGTGCGCCCCCGCCCACGCGGGAGCTCAGCTGTCAGGACACATGGGCGCGGCGCCGAGGCGAGAGCGGCATTTCGCCCATGTGTGAGGGGATGCGCACCTCGTCCCATTCTTGCCGTGCATTTTACGAAGCCGACGACAAAGCGTCCCTGCTGAAAATGGATACGTCGTCGCTGTATTGCTTTGTGATGGGTTGGTTGGGGCCTTCAGATCGTGTCGCTATCTGCGGACTAGGTGGCCTAGTCGGAGTTGATACTAACAAGGAGGGGGGATGAGGAAGTCGAGGAGAGGGAAGATGAGGATGAGAGCGAGGAGGGACATGCGGAGGAAAAGAAAGAGGAGGGGGACGAGACGCAGGAGGCGGGCCAGGAGTAATGTCATGGCTGCGATGACGATGATGGTGCATGATGGTGATGCTGATGATGATGAGGGTGAGGGTGAGGATGAGAGTGAGGGTGATGTTGCTTTTAATGCTGACTCTGACCACTGCGACGGTTATGATGGTGTCGCTGATCATTAGATTGATGTTGCTGCGGCTGGTACGGATGCTGGTTTGATCACTGATGCGTAAGATGGTGATGCTACGGCTGCTGATGCTGATGACGATGATGTTGATGCTGGTGATGGTGATGATGACTATGATGCTGATGATGCTGGTGATAATTGATGCTTGATGATTGATGACGACGATGGTTGATGGTGTCGATGATGGTAGATACGGCGGCGATTGTGTTGATGGTGCTGATGGTGATGGCTACGACTACGATGGCGATTCTGACGATGCTGCTGATGGTGCCGCGGCTGTTGATGATGATGACGATGATGACACCGGCGACGACGAGGATGATGTTGATAATGAGGATTTTGATGATTATTGTGATGATGGTGATGTCTATGATGATCATGAGAATGGTGATGATGATGATGATGGTTACGATGATGATCTTGGTGTTGCTGATGCTGATGGCGATCACTGATGATGCTGCTGATGAGGATGATTGATGATAATGATGATGATGTAGATGTTGTCGATGATGGTGGTGGTGGCGGTGATGCAGCTGGTCATGAACATGCTGATGGTTAGGATGCTGATATTCATGACGACATGTCGAATGAAGACGGCGTTGATGATCATGGTCATGATGATGATGTTGCGGATGCTGCTGATGTTGATGATGGTGTTGCTGGCGAAGTTGTTAGCGAGTCCGACGACGACGGATCTGATGTTGATACTGAACGTGGCTGGCAATGTTTATAATGCTGATGGCGATTGTGACTATGAGTTTTGTGCTGATGATGTTGATGATGAGGATAACTGGTGCCGACCACGAGGAATGTGATGGTGATGATGTTGTTGATGCTTTTTTCAGGCTGATGGTGACAGTGACGCGGATCACGATGACGGCAATGATAAAGATGATGACGGTGTTGATGATGATGGCAGTGGTGATGATGATGATGATGTTGTGTCTGATGATGATGATGATGTTGATGTTAATGCTGCTGGTTTGATGATGCCGATGCTAATGATGGTGGTGATGGTGATGGTGATGATGAGGACTATGATCATGATTATGATGATGGTGTTGATGATGATGATGATGGTGATGGTGGTGATGATGATGATGATGATGATGACGACCAGTATCATGATTATGATGATGATTATGATGAAGCTGGTCATGACGCTGGTTATGACGATGATGTCAAAATTAGTAGAACAACTGGTGGTGGTGATGACAATGATGATGTTGACGCTGACGCTGATGCTGATGCTACTGCTGCTGCTGATGATGATGATGCTGATGATGATGACGATGATGATGATGATGATGATGATGATGATGCTGATGATGATGATGATGACGATGATGATTATGATTATGCTGCTGCTGATGGTGATGATTCTGAAGATGAAGATGATTGGGAGGAGTACGAGGAGGAGGGGAGGGGGAAGAGGAGGAGGAGGAGGAGGAGGAAAGAAGAGGAGGAGGTTGGTGGTGGCGGAGGAGGTGGAGGGGAGGGAGGAAAGGGAGGAGGAGGAGGAGGAGGAGGAGGAGGAGGAGAAGGAGAAGGCGGAGGAGGCTCATGAGGAGGAGGCGGGGGGCGAGGAATGGGAGGCCGTGGAAGATGAGCCCCTCACCGAGGTGGCGCGCGGCGAGGCTCCGCGGCCGCGGCGGCGCGTGGCACAGCCGCCCGGTGGCTGTGCGCGGCGTGCGGGCTCGTGCTGGCGCGGCGCGGCGAGGCCGCCCCTGGCGACCCCTCGGCGGCCCTCCGCGGCCCTCGGCTCAAGACGCCCCTCCTACTCCTCCTGCTCCTGCTCCTCCTCCTCCTGCTCCTGCTCCTCCTCCTCCACCTGCACCTCCTTTTCATCCTCCCCCTCCTGCTGCTCCTCCTCCTCCTCCTCCTCCTCCTGCCCCCTTTCCCTAGCCCACCCTCTCTCTTTCTTCTTCTTTCTTCTTCTTCCTGTTCCTTCCCCCCTCTCTCCCTGTCCCTCTCCTCCATTCCTAATCTTCCTCCCCCCGCGGCCCTCGGCCCTTCGCGCGCCCCGAAATCCATGATAAGACTCTGGCCTCCGAGGCCACGCTGTTTATCCGTACTCTAGGCCTCCCAGATGGGGTTCGAGTAGGGGGGGTCGGAGGACCGCGCCACATCGCCGACGCATCGGTGATGCGGCTCGATGCGAAGCCCGGTCTTGTCCACGCGGACGTCGCCGCTGCATTACCGACGTCGGCGATGCATCGCCGATGCATCGCCGATGCGGCGCGATCCTCCGACCCCATGTACTCGGACCCCATCTGGGAGGCCTCTTCTGGTAAAACTCTGGCCTCCGAGGCCACGCTTATCCATACCCTGCCGCGCCTGGCGCCCATAGCGGGGGGCAGCAGAAGGGGGATGGATCGAACGTAAGGGGCCGGTCGCATCGAAGAAGACTCAACTGCATAGACACTAAACTTTCGGAGATCCGCGCCGGCTTCTTGGATCGGCGCTGGGCTCCCCGAGGCGACGCCTGCGGTGTTGCTTTTGGCGCTCTCCGTGCGCCAGCGAGGGGGTGGCCCAGAGCAGGTCACAAGACTCCGCGTGGAGTTCCGTTGGTTTATGTCTGTGTTTCTTGTTCGTCTGGAGCAGGCAAGCCGTTGACTGGGCGGGGGGATGTCGAAGTGTCGCGAAAGTGTCAAGCAGTGGCGAAGCGTCCTGGCTCGCCTAAAGTCCTACCAAACAATGTTCTAAGAACCTTTTATGGTTCCCACGAGTTTTAAGAACATTGTTTTTGTTCGTAGAAAATGTTTGGGGTCTACGAACATTTCGTGGTAGGACTAGGACTGCCTGGACGGTCGGTCCCTGCTCAAAAGTGTGGCATGAGGAAGAGGCATAAGCACGACTGTGAGTTCTCGGGGGATTGGAAGCATGGAGGCAATATTGTCGCTTCTCCTGCGCGCGCGCGTTACCGCGCGCGTGGCTCAAGACAACCGTAAGTACATGACGCCGCTGGTACCTTAGCGGAAAAAGTGTACGCGTGCCTTTCTTTCAGCGCTCGCGTATCACCCTTCAGTCCTTCCGTCCAGATGATCCTGGGAAAGAGACCCCTTCCGCCAGGAGACCCGAATAACGACAATGCTTGTTTGTTAAAAGCGTCATCTGACAATCCGTCTGTTATCAGCACAAATAATGGCGGAAAACCAGCACGACGGCAAGCACCATGAAAGACATCATTGCAGTTGCAACGATCGTACACGAAAGCAAGATCGTGACGATCAGTAACAAGAAAATAATTTTCAGTGGTATCGAATGCAAGGACCCGAGTTTATGTTTCCCCTGCCAGGTGATTACAACATTTGGACGCTGGGGGAAATCCCAATCTCGCCTAGGCGTGAGTGGCACACCGAGGGAATCCCAGCTTCGCCTCCTTTACCTTGAGAGTCGGAGTCGTGTATGCCAATTTCCATAGGGGCGTCAGGAAAAATAGCCGGGATACCTCTTTGAGGTGGTATGGGTGAAACCGGTCGATGTGGAGATGGGCCAGTTTATCTGACAGGTCAACCAGCCTCGTCTGGCGAGGACCCCCATGCCGTATCGCATTCGACAGACAATGTACTTGGAACAGACGTACCAGGGAATCCTTGCGCCAGAACTTCGGTGATCGAGGCCCCTAGTATCGACGCTTCGGCTGCCGCGCGGGAAGGCCCGGCATACATTCAGTCTCCTTGTGTTTCGGAAGGCGTTCTTGAGTCACTAGAGACAGCTCAGCGCCGCCAGAGCGGAACGACGCCCGATACGTCGGGAAGAAGATTCTTAGAGTTGAAGCTTAAGATGTGGCCTGCCTGGATGGTAAGGATGGTGCTCGGCACCAACAGCTCGTCGAGGGATGGCGCATCCCCCAACAGGCCACAGCTGTGGTATAAAAGCGCCAGTGCACATTACAAATGTGTCCGGATAGTTATGTTGTCTCATGATGTGCTTGCGTTCGATGCGAAGTTTTTTTGGGTCAGCTGTTTTCGTATGATCTGATTTAGGTTTGCGCGCCTGGGTCCTCACTCGACGAGCAGCCAGCGCCTACCCTTGAGCCCAGTAGTGCAGTTCTCATTGGAATCGCGACAGTAGTTCGACGTTTGGCCAAGCGATTCATCCATCCGTCCTCTCATCCACCAATTCTACCCGTCCCTCTCTGTCTCCTCGGCTGTCTTTTTGCCTTGACTCGCTCAGCCTATTTCGCTTGGCAGCGGTTGCCATGGCTTGTGATCTGCATAGTTTCCACATCCATCTTTGCATTAATGGCTGTCTCTTGTGAGATAAACGGGAGTTCCCTTAAATGCTTCCCTAATATTTGTCCTCCTCCTTCTGGGCCCGGGTTTTTTCCTCATACCCCTCCTCTTCTTCCCTTTCTCCCTCTTCTACAGTTCGACCGGAGGCGAATCCCCTCCCATCTTCTCTCTCTCTTCCCCCCCATCGGTCGGACTTGAACCTTTGGGCCGGCGAGCACCTCATCACAGTTTCTGGCAGCGCTGTGTCCTGCAAAAGGGGATGTCGCGATGGGGCCGGTTGTGACGGGCGGCTGTGCCACCGTCGCGGGCTTGCAGGCAGACGCCGGGCAAAAATGGCAAGGGTGATAATTTTGAGTCCGCCGGCTCAGTGGCTCGTGGCTCTGCCGCGGGCGCCGATGACGGTGGGCGACAGCTTCGACAAGATGGCGACGAATCGGGAGGCCGAGTGGGGCACTGGTTGTAACAGTCAAGATTGTGGTTCGAGGAGGATCGAGCGCGATTCTGGGTGGACGCCAGACAGGGGTCATAGCGCCAAGAGGTATAGTTCGCACCGTCCCGAAGACGACCGCGCGAGCAAGCGGGCTATGAAGGGGACTGGAAAGACAGGAACAGAGAAGACGTGGTCAAACACGTGTGGGGACGGAGCAGGAAGTTCCTCCTCGGCGCCGTGGCAAGCGTCGCCATCATGGTGAAACAAATGGAAGCCTTCGGAACACCGCGATGAAGGCGGCCGCCCACGGGAAGACCGCGATGAAAGTGGCCGTGCCGCGACTGGGGCATGGACTGCGGAAAGTGACAGTGGTATATTTGGAATCGGGATGGCGGTTGGCAAGGAATTCCAAGTGAATGAGGTCGAAGGTAGGGTGCGGGAAAGGGCCACGCTGGCTGATCGAACAACGCCGGGCGCCCCGTGGGTCTGTCGAATATAATGACAGTGTTGTCGAGCTGCTGCGCCCTAGCCTCTGCAGCAGGAGTAGGCACTACTCGAGAGGGCTGCGCTGTAAAAGTCTTTTTGGGGTCGGCGCGCCCTGGCGACGTGTGCTCAAGGCTAGCAATCGACGGCTTAGTGGCTCAGGAGTTTGCCGCGGGTGGGAGTTGTTACTATCGCTACTCCTGCCTGTCGTTTTACGCATGCTGCTCGCGCGCGCGCGTCTCCGCGCGTTTGGCTCACGACAACCGCGGGGTCAGGACGTTGCTGGCGCCCTAGCGAACAAAGGGCGTGCGCGCCTCATATCCTAGCGCGCGCGCGAGTCATTCTTCTTGTTCACGTCTACTGGACCGAACCAACTAGCTATGTCGCAGGACTTGGTGAATAATCCTTCCGTCAACTTGATGTAGGAGAAATAAAGGGCCCTTTGGGCTAGGAGGCCCTGGGTAACTGATGACCGCGGTCTGTTAGAATTCAATGATCACCTTGCACATCACTTCAGGAATCTGCAGGGCAGCCCCGAAACGTAGGGGAATGCACATGCGAAACAAATTAGCAACTGTGGAACCTGAAAAGCTACTGGGGTATGCTTAAGAACTGGAAGGGGACTGTGGACGTATGGAGTACGAAGAGAAACATGACGTTGAACAACCACGGGAGAGACGGACGGATGACAAGAACGTGCACAAAAGCGCTTTGAACACAACTGAAGCACTCTTGCAACAATGTGGACAACAGTCGGACCGCATCTCGGCCGCACCTCATGTCATATGCGTCTTACTTTCGGTGCCAACACTTGTGCCATTCTTATCCCATCGTTTGCAGCAGCCCGATATTTTAACGGCTTGCCGGCTCCGGGGCATCTCAATTGACGGCGGCCCTCGGCGGCTTTCGGCGGGCCTTGGCGGTCCCTCTGTGGCCCTCGGGGGCCCTCGGAGGGCTGTCCTCGGAGGGCTGTCGGCGGCCGCCGACGGCCGTCGACAGAGCGCAGACCGTCGCCGACGGCTTTCGGAGGCCCAGGCACTGTCGCGTGGGGCCCAAGCCGCGCCCGTCGTGGTGGTCGTCGTCGTCGACGACGTCGTCGTCGTCGTCGAAGTCGAAGTCAAAGCCGCGGTCAAAGTGGAAGTCAAAGTCGACGTCGAAAACAAAAAGTCAAAATCAACATCGTCGTTGTCGTGGTCGTCGGCCGCCGCCGCCGACGCCGCCGCCGTTCGAACTTCGAGCGTCTAAGACTTGGCACTCTTCGGGCGTGTGCGTGTCTCTCGGCGAGCACCACCGAAGAGCACCTTGGCTCACTCTGCGAAGCAACAGAGGCACGAAGCCGCAAGATGTACGGGGGGTGGACGTCCGAGCGGTGGCAACACAAGATAGCACACAGTTTTCTTGTCCTCGTCGCGGTTCTCGAGCCATCCTGGGCCGTCAGAGGTCGATCCTGGGCGGAGGGGGGGTCCAGGGTAGGGTGTCCACGGCCAGTTCGGTGAGGCCGCGTCGCAGATGTTGACCGGGGACGGACAATTATTTGTCGGTCGTTGAGCGCGGGTATTTGTGGATTCCCCGACCCCAATCTACGTCAAGTGCCTTCCTATCTCAAGAATTGGTATGCGTTGATTGCGTTTTGTTTTTGCTTTTCCATCGCTCCCGGAGGGCCTCGAGACCCAGTTTTGATATAAAACAAGTGTTCCTACGTCATGTTTTACACTTCTTCCGACCGGCGTGTTTCGGGTTTTCCTTGCAGTGTCGGCTTCTATTTTCGGCACCCGTCGGTTTCTGTTCGTTCCGTCGCCAAGGACGGCTCTTGCGTTCCTCCTTGTTTTCCTCCCCGGCGTTGCTTTTCCCTCTTTCTAAGTAGTCGATGCCGGGCGATGAAGGTTCGAATTGGCGTCGTCGAAAACGTCTGCCGCGAAACGGCCTCGTCGCGAGTGGCACTCTCACGATTGACCTGGCAGCCTTGAGGCCAAACGATGTTTGACTCGATTTGCTGCCTCGCCTCCCTCCCCCCCCCGCCGCGCAGTGCGCCTATTTCCTGCTCCAGGAGCGCCTCTCTCGCGCGCGAGCTGGCGGCGGGTCGTCGGTAGTCGGGGGGCGGAGGAGAAGGAGGACCAGCAGGAGGAGGAGGAGTTGGAGGAGGAGGAGGAGGAGGAGGAGGAGGAGGAGACAGACTCAACCCAAGATTCATCAACGAAGTTGGAATATGTCCTCCAAAGCTCCCTCCTCGCATGCCCCTACAAAGCGTCAGTTCCACTGGGGGAAGTACCCGCCGCGCTACGCAGAGCGCCCGTCCTCGATTTGTGCCCGAGCCCGTTTTTGTCAGCCCTCCTGTGTTGGGCTGTTGTGCGCTTGGCCACTCCAGTCGAAGTTCTCCGTGCTGCGAGAGCCCTCCTCCTCTCATGACCACCGCCTGGAGGGTCAATTTTCGGGGACCTCGGCAGGCGGTGTGTATGGATATATGCGGGCACCCTGGGGCCAAAATGTATCCATATCCACCGCCCGCTGGGGCACCAGGACGTCGGTTCCCAGGCGGTGGATATGGATAAATCCCCGCCTCGCATCCTCCGCCCTCCGCGGCCGCGCCTCGCCTCTTTCCCCCACTCTTGTCGCCAGGCAGCTGGTGCCCTCCATGGCCCTGCTCGCCTCTGCCGCGCTGCGACGGAAAATTTGGGTTCGCTTGGATGGAGCGCTGTGGTCCCCCTCCTCCCCGCAGCTCGAAGCTGCGGACCGTGCCACCACGAACGGCCGAAGTCCTCGACGCCCCTCCCGCCCAGCAGCGCCGGGGGGAGGGGCGGGCGGGAACAAAAAAGACAGGGCGGTGAAGAGAGAACGGCAGGAACGACGGCGCGATGACGACGGCTGATGGAGCACCAGGGATTGGGGGCGAGAGAGGCGAGGCAGGGGCGCCCGTGTGCGCCGCGGCGGGCGGCGCAGCCGCGGGTGTGGTCCGAGCGTGGGCCCCACCCCTCCCTGGGGCCTGGGGGGGAGGCAGGGGCTCACCTCGGCGCGCCTTTTCTTCCTGCCTCGGTGCGTCCTGCCCGAATCAAGTAGCTTGCGCCATCCCGCCGACGCCCCAGAAGGAGTGAGTGTTTGAAGTGATCGTGGGAGTTGCATCTCGGGTCAGGAGCCTCCTGGATGAACATGAGGGTCTCTTGGGATGCCTCTCTGGGGCCTCTTGGCGAACTCTTGGGGGCATGTGGGAGGTTTTTTGGGGCCCGCGTCGTGCTTCATTTCTACGGGGTCGAATGGTATACACCACCACCACCTCCCTCGCCCCCTCCCTCTCCCCAAAGAAGAGGAGAGGAAGACGAGGGTGGACGAGGGAGGGGGGATGGAGGCGGTGGTGGTGTATATGCTTGGGGCCCACAATTTCCAACCCTCCCGTGGTTGGTCCACAACGTCGACCTCCACAGGTCTGGGCCCCTTGCCCGAGACCGGTTTTCCATCCTCAGTCGTTTTGTTGACGGTCCCAGGGCCCAGTAGGATTTCGGAGGCCGAAAATAATGAGAAACCTCCCGTCGTGAATTTTTCGTGACTCGAGGGGGTCTGGGTGCGTCCTGCGTGTCCTGCGTTGTGTCTCCTACCCTCCCGTGGTTGGGCCCTTGCTTTCTCGGCCTCCCCCCCCCCCCCTGCCGCGCCTGGAGCATCCACCGGCCCGAGTCGCCGCGCGGCTGCAGGGAGCAATGGCGCCCGCGGCCGCAGAGGCCCCGGCGCCCACCGGGAAGGGGAGGAGGAGGGAGGGGGAGGAGGAGGAGGACAACGGAGGGGGAGGGGGAGGCTACACAAGGAAGGAGGAGGGGCAGGAGGAGGAGGAGGAGGAGGAGGAGGAGGAGGAGGAGGGGGAGGAGGAGGAGGAGGAGGAGGAGGAGGAGGAGGAGGGGGAGGGGGAGGGGGAGGGGGAGGGGAAGGAGGAGGGGGAGGGGGAGAAGGGGGAGGAAAATGGATGAGGAGGGCGGAGGGGGGAGGACAAGCTAAGCGCGCCAGCGTCACATCTGACGTCCTACACCTCCCTCCCATCCCCTAGCATGGCGTAGATATCCTATCTATTCGTGCAGTCGGATGTGGAGCAGGGCAACGATCCCAAGAGGGTACGTGATGGCGTAGAAGAGCAAGGCACATGGCGTTTTATTGCGTAGCGAAGCATGGCATCACAAAGTATATCCACGCAAAGCATGGCATCGCACAGCGGTGTACAACACAGCATCGCATTGCATGCCGTGGCATGGCACTGGATTATTTGGCAAGTGGCCCGTCTACGAGAGGACAGGGCCTGTCCGGAATGTCGGTTCCATTTCCTCCGCAACTATGCCTGCCAATTGTGGGCGCTTTCGAATGCCAGGTGCCGTCCGGAGGCGTGGGATTGTCCTCTCTTTCCTCTCTTCTCCCCCTTCTATGTGCCTGTCATAGCCTTTTAGGCTTTAGGCCCGCCATGGGCGGGCTCAGGTGAATCATGCTCGTTGGGGCGTTCCTTCGATAAGAAACATGTCCAGCCCCCTGGGAACACCGATTCAATTGGTAGCTGGAGCGTGGTTCACCAGGAGGGGGAGGCACTATATCACGAGGGAAGCGCCTTGGCGACGACACCAGGCACGTGGACAGCGACAGTAGAAGAAGAGGGAGAACCGGGAGATCAGGAGACAGGTGCAGGGACCTGCGCTGGATCAGGACAGTGGAGTCGAGATGTTAGTTAGTCACCTGAGGCTCCTGAACGGAAAACGCCCCGGGGATCGAGAGTGAGGCTCGAAATGCGGCGCTGTTCGATTACAGCATCAAGCTTGGATTTCGTGCTACGAGTAGGTTTTCAGATTGCACAGGCGGATACGTTCGGTTTGAGTTCGCCAGATGACGTGCGAGCTCGTTTTGTATTAAGAGTGGTCAGAGCTCTCGGGGCAGATGAAGGTCAGTTTGAGGACACTAGTCGCTTGAGGCTCGTCGTGTCAAACCGTGCGCAAGGCAGTGTTGCATCTGGAGGTGACGGACAAAAACATATTACCGAGAGTTTCAGCAGGATCGACTCAGAAGAGTTCCGCTGTGGTCGAAGAGAGCCCCGAGGAAGACGCAGCGGAGCCGGACATCTACGAGACGGAGTTCATTGCGGAGGAGGTTGCCGCTTCCCTCACGCCCGTTGAGGTTCAGGATGTTTGCGAGGCCAGGGTTTTCGAGTCTTGGCGGAGACGGCAGACGCCCAGCGAAGGTCCTGGAAGGAAGCACGACGTTTGAAAACAGCTCGGAAGGTCGACGGAGATATCTTCGACAGGCAGCGGGCCTCCTCGTCGAATTCGGCCGTAAGACTTCGAAATCAGACCTGAAGAAGAGAACGCGATGCACGAACTGCGGTGAGAAGGGGCACTGGAGGGAGGACAGGAAGAAGCCGCACAGGTCCAATGAGGGCAGGCTGAAGTCGGAGCGAACTACCGGACAGACAAGTATGCCAGCGGCCGAGAGTTTTTTTTTCTCGTTCGACTCCTTCAAAACGACAGCGCCATCCTGGGCCACTTGTCCGGAGACCTCTCTCTTTTCGTGGATGCGTGATTCTCGAGTTCTCTTTACCGCGCCCGCGCCCGCCACTGTTGCCCGCGGGCTTCCTGGACTCCTAGGAAGCAGTCATAGATATGAAGAGCAGCACCCTTCGTTTTGGCCAGAGTCCACGGGGGATCCAGATGGCGCAGCTGCCCTCAGGACATCGACCGATCGCTCCAATTGGCGCGCCAGATTTCCCAGCTTTGTCAAGGAAGGGATCTCACCGATGACGTCAGATGACTTGGGAGACGGTGGAGGGGGATTCGGAGATCGACATCAACGGGGACGTCGCGCCGGGCCCGTGGCACGATCGGGAACTTCAGAACGTCGACTATTCCGGCAGCGAGCTGACCGATGTGGAGAAGGTCTTCATGAACGGGCGGGGCTAGGCGCTGGCTTGCCCCGTCCTCCGATGGAGAAGGTGGGGTCTGATGCTTCTCGCGATGCCTCGAGACTGCTCGGACTCGAGACCTCTCGCGAGCCTCGTTCCGAGACTCCGAGCGGGGGCGGCCACGGGGGTCGAGGAAGAGGAGTGGGGCCCAGCATGTCAGGTGGGCGAAGCGCCGCGAGTGCGGCGGGGGGCTCGAGATAACATAGTCCACGCTAAGGAGAGAGTCCAGATCAAGGCCAAGCGCGAGAACGTCAACGAGGAGGAGGACCTCGAGGGTGGCGAGCAGCAGCGTATCCAGATGGCCACCCAGGTAGGTGCGCAACCCCGACTACCAGCGCGAGGAGATCGAGACAGGGCTGCGCCCACCACACTGCCCAGGGTCAGCGTCTTCCCAGAATCCAGGGCGCCCTGCGGCGCTGAGGGCGAGAACGCGACCGATTCCAGCGGCGGTTGTAGTCGTGCCACTTCCGCCGCGCTTCGCGTCTCCAACCCCAGGCGTTGGACCGACGGCGGTCAAGAGCACGCCGGCGCGCAGGTAAGAAGCCGGGGCGCGCGGCAGGGAGATCGAGGAGTTTCTTCAGAACCAGGGGGCCAACGGGGAGAAGATCACCCAGTGGATGTTCGAGCAGAGGAGGGGATCTCAGTCAACAGGGGCCATTCTCGGGATCTGCTGGAGACGATCAGGAGCAGCGCGACAGGAATCTCCAGCAGCGCGTGCCCGGCGGACGTCAAGACGAAGACGCAAACCCCATCATCCTCTCCCCCGTCGTCGTCCACCTCCACCTCCATCCGAGAGATACCATATTTTTCCCAGGAGGTGCAGGAGGCTTTCAGAGGCGCCCTTCCTGCGGGGACCGATCTCGAGAGCTGGGCTGGGAAATGCTCCGGAGTGACCGGGGCCAGGGGCGATCGGAGGGACCTTGGGGCAATTCGACGCGTGTAAGTTCCCGGCCTTGGGAGCGCGATAATCGGCGGCGCTGGGGAGCCCGTGTCCCTTGAAGAAGTTTCGAGCGAGTAAAAAATGGAGAGAGAGGCCCCATGGGGCCTCGGAGGTTCAGGACTCGTCGAGCTATCTTGCGCTTTGGAAACAAGGGAAGGGGGGGGGGGGCAGTTCCATGAGCTTCAATTCCGAAGTCAGACGCCTAAGGGTTACCACAAGGGGGCCCGAGAGGACCACCGCGCTGGTCGACTGTCCGAGCGTCGGGGCCTCGGCTTCAGAAATAGCTGCCAGGGCGGGGGGCTACCCGCAGCCGGGCCTTCCCATCTCGGTCTGGGTCTCGGCTGGGGTCGTGACAAGTACGCCCCGGAACTGGATGTTGCTGGACAGACGTTCGGCCCCCAGGAGGTCTCTCGCTCGGACCCCGGTGTCGCTGCCGCGTCGAGCACGCGAGGGAGCTCCCAGGTCCTCTGCGGGCCACGGGGCGCTGGCCTTAAATAGACAAGAGACACGACCGGCCGCGTGCTCAGACAGCAGAAGAGAACCGCTATGTTTGAGCTTTTCCCCCTTCCCAGAGTCACCCCAGAGATGGAGGGAGTCGGTTATCCCGTTTCCAGAGCAGTGGATCTGCGCGCTGGTTGGGATCTTCGTTTGACCAGGGAGAGAAAGAGGATGGGGGAGATGATTCAGTCAGACAGGCCAGAAGTCATTCTCATGACGCCTCCGCGTCGGGGAGTCTCAGTTGCCAGAATCCCCAACTGGGAGAGACTGAACCCCGCCAACAGGGGCCGAGTCGAGCAGGGGGGTATCTTCTTCTGGCGACTCGCGACGCAGGTTGCGATGCATCAGATTTCCGAAGGGCGCAAGTTTCTGATAGAGAATCCGTCCGGGGCTTTCTCTCGCCAGCTGAAGTCCACTGAGGTCCTTCTTTCTGGACGCCCGAAATGGGTACCGAAAGAGCGGGCACAATGCCCAACAGCAGTTCCTTCATTTTGAACAGGCCTAGCTGTCCACGCCGCCGCGGCCTGTGTCCATTCGAGACTGGGGGCCGCCTGCCCAACAGCGGCCGCTGTTGGTTTGTTGCTCGGCATCGTGCCCATATTTTCGGTGCCCATGTCGGGCGTCCAAATTCTTGGGGGCCCAGGGGTCTACGAGATTCGAGGGGGTCAGTGCGCCTTCGGTTTGGCGATCTTGGACGGCGGATTGGCCATGAAGCCCGCTCGATTCATATCCAACTGCGTGGAGCTTCCATGAGTCTGTAACAGGCTGCACGGAGGATCACGCTCACTCGGGTCTCACCGGCGGCGCCGAGACCTCAGCAGCTGAACGATTTCCATCTGACCTCGCACGGGCGCTGGCGGAGGGCGTCAAGCAGACTGTTCCCTGTCTACGTGGTGCGTCCTCTTCTCCTTATGTCCCCGACGAAGCACCGACCGATCCAGCGGCCACCGGGGGAGAAAGCGATTCCGAGGACGAACCAGAAACCCGAGGGATTCATGGTCCGCCGGGAGGGCCCTCCAAGGAACCGGAGGTTTCCCAGGAATTCCGTGACGAAATACGCAAGTTCCACGTTGACCTATTCTAAAGTGAGCTGGGCGTTGTGCGCGAGCGGGGGCGAGCGCGCGTCCGCGGCTGCTTGGCTCGAAGCAGCCGGCCGCCCGGATCTGACTACGCCACCGCGCGAGGTGCACCATTTGCCATCGATGCCAAATTGCTTGAGATGTCTCGCCTCCTACTACTTGGACCATCGTTACTACGGTACAACAGAGCGGGAACCTGGCTTCGACTGCGGCGAAGCTGCTGGTTGGGCCCCCCAGCCCCTTTCAAACTTGGTAGCGGGGCTGGCCTATGGTGGT